ACCAGCGATGTTGTGGGTACATGCGGAAGCATGACGGATGCTATAAAAGTTCTGGATCTGGGTATTTTCAGAAGGGCAGCTTCTGATCCAGCGTAATGCTGTATTAATAGACAGCAAGAATGTAGAGCTGCGACAGAAAGACTGACAGCTTTTGGCAGGAGATTTTGTACTTGGGTATCTAAATGTATCCCTTGAAATTCCAGTTTGGTCAACTAGGCAAACCTGGGCTGACGTACTGAAAACTGGCAGCCCTGCTTCGCACCCGCCTGACGTTTCACCCTTGGTTTTCTTTTTTGATTCAGAGCTAAAATGGTCACGGCATTGGGACACATGGTGTTCTCACGTGTCCATCAAAGCTGGATACACCCCACCCGAGCTGGGAGCGGCAGTTGTGTAATTTTAGTGACTTTGCTGCTGTTGGAGTTGTCATAATTAAGGGACCCAGTTTAATTACTTGGTTGACTGGAGGTGATGTGAACAGTCTGCTTAATTCTGTGGTACCCAGAGCACGAGGGATTTGGGGACGACTTACTGTGTGCAATTGGAAACGTCTTACTCAAGGGTTGCTTAGCTTGTGAATTTGGCTGTTCTACGTCTGGTGCTTCTCCTCATCTTTGTAGCTGTAGATACATCATTGGCCTTTCACTGGAAAAACCACTCTAGACCCTACGGTGAGACCAAAGCATCAGCCCAGCTGGTGTCCCCTGCTGTCCCTCTGCAGCAGGGTGCTCCTGGGTCCCTGTGCTTTGCGGAGTGCCCGTGAGCCATTGACAGTATTAGCTAATTAGTATTGCTTAATTTAGCAAATACATCAAAGCCCGTGGGGTTGCCTACAACAATTAGTGGTGTCCCTCGTCGTGCGGTGATTCATCTGGACAAAATGAGCTCTGGGCAGGGAGGGCGGCTGGGTGCCGGTGGAGGCTGGGAGCGCTGGGAGGACCGCAGAGCAGGGCTGGTCCAGGGGGATGTGTGTGTGTCCTGGCGAGGGGCAGAGCTTGCCTTGCTTTCATTGCAATTAATTTATCTATGTATATATACATAATTTTATCTGTTTTAGCTATAGAAAAGCAATGGGTGTGCTAACCCTTTTATTTCAGTTTGATTAAGTTGATTCTTCACCCAGCTGAAGCAAGACGTGTGTTTAAAGTGAAATCAAAGCGCGCTAAACTTTGTATACACGAAAGGCTTTGGGTTATTTTTTCTGTCCGATCTTTGGCAGCAGCGGCACGGCTTTCTCACGGAGGCCAGCTCCGCGTGCGTGTGTGCGCAGAGAGCAGGAGCGGTGGGGCAGGGTGTCACTGCGCCCATGAGAAGCTGTCAAACTTTTTGGTCTGGTCTCAGTCTGCAGCTGGGAGAACAAGAAGAAGCTGCAAAAGTCCGTGGTAACGCCGAGGTGTCAGCCTGGATGTTTGATGAACCATCCACATCGCTGATGGTTAATCCCGAGCGGTGAAATTAAATCAATGAAAATGTTTCCTCTGGATGGAGTGGGAATGGAGCTCCTCACGGCAGACCTGATGGGGTTTTTTTAAAAATTGGAGAAAAATCTCCTTGCATTAGCCAGAGCGGCTATGCTAACCACGGGCACTGCCGGGCTCCTGTCCCAGTGCCTTTCCTCGGCGTAAAGCCTGAAATACCCAGGGAAGGGCCCTCTCCCAGGAACCGTTACTGGTGTCACTGGGCAGCTGCTGCACGATGCCCTGGTGCTGCGCGAGGCTGTGCCGTGGTGGGGCTCCGGGGGGACACCCTGCATCTGCCAGCACGCCCACCCTGCTGTCCCTGCCTGCCCCAGCGAGGGCCCCCTCGCCCACGGGCCCAGGAGCACCAGTGCTGGCACTGGGTTGCCCAGTAAGGACACTGGTGTGCCCATCAGGAACGCTGGTTTGCCCATGGGTGGCACTGAGTCATCCAGGGGTGACACTACAATGCCCAAGGGCTGTACTGGGTTGCCCATCAAGGGCACTGGGAATTGCCCAGGGGTGGGATCAAGTTCCCCAGTGAAGGCACTAAGTTGCCCGAAGCTGCACTGAGGTTGCCCAGGGGTGGCTCTAGGTTGCCCACCAAGGGCACCAGGTTGCCTAAGAGCTGCACCAGGTTGCCTAATGATGGCAGCAGCTTGTCCAGGGCAGGAACTGGGAAGCCACATGTGGATATTTCCTTGCCCAGGGCTGTCACCGGGTTGCCCATGGAGACCACTGGCTTGCCCAAGGGCTGCATCAGGTTGCCATAGCAGGAGTTCCCAGGGCAGAACCCTGAGCACCTTGCGCCCGTGGCAACGGTCCTGTGTCACTGCTGGCAGTGGCACTGGGGATGCTGCAGCGCCTGGTGGTGCTGCCACCCAGCCCTACAGCACAGGGCGAGTAGCAGCCCCCCGCCACCCCCAAACCCCGGAGTGCACCCCACACCCGGGCAGTGAAGGGTGAGTGGGGGCTTTAACTGGGAGGGGGGGCTGAAAAAGAGATGTTTCTCCTGATCCCCCTGATATCTGTTATATCATCCCAATGTACCCAGATGAGGTGGTTGGTGGCTCCTGGCGTGTGTCCGTGTTCAGGGGTGGCAGAAAGTGTCACCCTGGGATGGCTTATCCCAAGGGGGATCCAGGGACATTTATTTCAGTTGGAAATGCAGGGAAAAGGAACCCCAGCCCATTCCCAAGGCTTTTTCCTCCCTTTCTTAAGCATCTGTCTGTCAGTATCCGAAAGGGAATGATTTATTTGCAGGGGTGGGAGCCAGGGACGCCATCTCCCCTTCTCCAAGGGCTGTTTCTCAGGTATAAATAAGCGGCGCGGAGCTGGGGGAAGCTCAGCCCTGTATCCTGAGCAGGGATAAAAGGGCTGAAGTGACCGGTTTGTGGGAACCGGCACACACAGTGGTTTTTGTTGGACCTGAGCACAGACATTTCGTCCTCGGTTCTGCCAAACTGGCTCAGAGGGTCGTGTTTGTGAAAGGCTTTTTTTTTTGGTTTTTGTTTTTTTTTTGTTTTTTTTTTCTAAATTTGAGGGTGTGAGTTTCCCGCTGCCTGTCCCACAGCCTCGGCGGCCAGGCTGGATCCCGGGGCGAGACTCGGTGCCCGCAGCTCTGCTGCTCTCGAGTCAGGTACCGGGGCAGCCCGTGCCAGCATGGCCAAAATTGGGCAAGGCTTGAACATACAGTCCTCAAAGTTCAGTGATTTCCCAGCTGCAGGCTGTGCACTTTTCCCCTCTGACTCATCCCTATTTTTCTCCCGTTTGCCCTAACTGAAGGACCTGTTATTCTCCTCCATTCGATGGTCATTTATTTAATAGCTGATTTCTGAGACACAGTTCCTCTGAATGCATCCAGCCCTTCCAGGCAGGTGACACAAAGTCACTTAGGTCACCTGTCCCCGTAGCTAGATGTTGGAAAATGTGTATTTTAATGGGTGGTGGTGTCTGCTCCTCACCTGGTGTAAACGGGCACGACTCCAAGAGAGGCAACGAGCGGCTGGCATGGGAGAGGGTTCCCGTGGGTGTGCGGCAACGGCAGCCCGGGGCAGAGCCTGCTGGCTCCATCCATCACCTTTTCATCTCTCCCATAGGAAACCATGACTCGTTGGTCGTGCCATTGTGTGGGGAGAGGTGTTCCTTGTTGCAGAGGTGACTGAAATGCAAGAAATTCTCTTTTCCTAGGATTTTATGGTTTTAAAAAGAAGCCAGCCTCTCTCAGCTCGCCTACACGTGCAAAGGGATCAGGGCAGCCTGGGAGGAGCAGTGAAACCTCCAGCCACGTGCGTGCTTGTGTGGATGCTCTGTTCTAGAATAAAAGGAACTTTATTCCATGCAAACATCCCATTTTTAAAGGACTAAAGTTGATTTTGTGGTGTCACAAATGGGATTCAGGACACGCTTTGTGTCAAACCCCACTCCCACGCAGGGACTGGTGTGTCCTGGTCTGTCCCTGGGGCTCTGGGCCAGACTGGGAGCACTGGGGATGGGACGGCGTTAGGGGAAGGATGCGTCTCTGCAACACAGCCTCAGGGACTTAGTCCTGCCAGTGGGTGACACTTGTGTGTGTCCTCTCAAGAGCTTCACAGTGAGCACAACAGACCCTCTGGAGCGTTTGTCCTCGGGTTGGCTGTGTTAGGTACGTTTGCTGGCCCCCAGCGTTATATTATTACCGATAACAATTGACTGATAGCCTCAACCTGAAAAGAGCAATAGCACCGCGGGGCCGTGGGCAGCTACTGGCAGCAAAATCTTCCTGCGTGGCCGTTCCTCCCAGGGTTGCGGGAAGGTTGCTGTTTACAAACCACTCAGAAAAGACTTTCTGGGATATCTCCTTTCCAAGCACATTTATTTTACAACAGGTGAGCCATATGCGTTTTTTGTCCTTTGCAGGTCAGGAGGTGGCTGTCCTTTCAGGGTGACATAATTGGGGTTTTTCAGGTTTGGGTATAGTCCTGGAAAGCTTGGCTCACCCGCAGGCTCCCACTTGAGCTTTTAATGCAAGTGGGGATGGAGGTGATGAGGATGGAGATCCTCGCCCACACATTGCGCTGGGTTGGTAGCAGCTGAGTGTCCAGAGCTATCGGGGCTGGTAGTGGAACTTTTAAAGAGAAAATTACATCTGGGGTACTACAAGATCAGCAGATATGCTGGCCAAAAGAAACAAAGGAACAGCAGAGAATCTGCAGCTACAGTTTCCCTGGACTGACAGATTTAAGGAAAGCGAAGGCACAATATCTGCTGTTCTCCTTAGCAGCCATCATTTGTTTCTCTCCACATCTCCAGACCTAACACTAGATACTAGCAACAAAGTCAGATCTTTATATATACAAATGCTCGGGATGCTGTCAGAAGGGATTTGTTCAAGGTTCAGGCCTGTGCAGGCGATGTGCATGTGCTGCTTGCGTCGCTGTTTGCGTTATAAGTTGCACGTGTTGCTGTCAGAACCGACGTGAGTACAGGAGCTCGCTGAGTGAGGTTGTGTTCTTCTGTCTCCTCCTCTGTGCAGGACTCAGACCTGAATAGCAACGTTCAAGAATGGAGCTCGTTGGCTCTCCCTTAATGGCGACCTATGCCCACCCAAAATCAACACCTACCAAGTTCCTGCCTGCCATCAGCACCATGGCTTCGAGCTACAAGAACCGTTTTCCTTACTACCCCTTGCCCCAGAGCTTCAGCCTCCCCTGGTTGCCCAGCGCCTACTACAAGACAGCTGGCATCAACCCAACCTTGGCTCCCATTTCCAAAAGCTCCCCAGGGTTGACCCCCAGCAAGATGCTTCCTTTTGTTTCCAATAGAACAACCCTCTTCACCCGCTACACCCCTGACGACTGGTACAGGTCCAACCTGACCAACTACAAAGAGTCGGAGGCTTCCCGGCACAACTCCGAGCGTCTGCGAGTCGATACCTCCCGCATGATTCAGGATAAATATCAGCAGATAAAGAAAACCCAAGTAGAAAGCACCAAAAACCTGGGAGAACGGGTCAACAACATTGAATTTTGGAGATCGGAGCTCTGCCATGAGCTGGATGAGATGATCGGGGAGACCAACGCGCTCACAGACATGAAGAAGCGGCTGGAGAGAGCCTTGGCCGAGACGGAGGCCCCTCTCCAGGTGAGGACCCTGGCCGGTGGGCTGCAGGCTGGAGCCTTCTGCTGAAACATCTGCAGCCGTTCAAACGGCTAATTAACTTTCATTGCAGCTTCGTAACGTCTAGAAAGTTTTTATTAAGAGACCATTAGTTAAGTTAGTCATAAACAAATCCCTCGCCATCTGCTGCATCCCCTCTTAGCACATGCTGAGCACATCAGAACAGTATTTGCTTAACCAAATATTTTTATAAACGGTGTATCCAAAATCCTGCTTTGGGAGACAAAAGCTCGTGTCTTACTCCGGGGCTCTGGTGAGGTCAAGGCTGCCACAGGTCTCTGCCTTCAGCTGTGGTTGCACCAGGGACATGTGTGCTCCCTCATCTTGATATAATGCTGATGTTGCAGCTTGGTTGCCCCTTGTCAGCCAAACCAGCTGCCCCAGGAACTTTTTTCCTTGCTGTCATCTCTGTGCCCACCTATAATTTCTTTTCTGACGTTACTTGAGATGGGGACCGTCCCCACAGGGAGCCCTGCCCTGGCAGCCAGCAGTGATGGCGTGTTCCCAACAGGTCACTCAGGAGTGCTTGCTGCACCGGGAGAAGAGGATGGGCATCGACCTCGTCCATGATGACGTGGAGAAACAGCTCTTCACGGTAAGCTGGGCAACTCAGGTCGTGGCTTAAAGCTATTTTTACCTAAACAGCCCTAAACAGGTTTTGCAGCCTTGTTCCTTAACTGGCTCCTTGGTGCTGGTGAGGTGCTAAATTCTTCAATCCCGCAGCATATCGGGATCCTCTGTCCCTCCTCCAGCAGTTTGGAGCCTCTCCTGCCTTTCCAAGCCCTGGAAGAACAGGATCTGTATGGATCTAGATCACATACGTATGGTATAGCTGTAGATCTGTATCACATACATATGATACAGCTGTATATCTGTATCACATACACACATCTCTATCTATACATCACATACAGATATGGAGAGGGCAGCGTGTGCCTGACAGCTTGCCTGGTTTTCCCAAATATATTACTTTGGCTAATAAAAGATATTACACCTAGCCCCAGCTTTGCTTTGCTCCGAGCAGCGTGGCCGCAGTAGGACGGCTGCTATGTGTGCTCGAGCGATGTATTTTATAGAAGTCGTAAAAATGTGCACTCCTGCCTGCCTTTATATGGGCTGCTTTAAATTAGGAATAAAAAGCAAACACGGCAAGAGCTGGCACAGAAGGTGGGATGCTAATGCAGGGTACAGGAAAATACAAGTGCTGCAAAGGCATCGGGAAACTGGGAAGGGAATTGCAGCCCCTGGGACTGTGAATCCTCTGCTCTGTGAGATTTTTTCTTATGAGTCAGGTCCTAAAAAATTAGAAGATTAGTTTTAAAAGCTTTTAGGAAAATAATCAGAGCTGGTATCTCCATAATGGTGTTTTGGGTTTTATGAGTTTGGGACACATTTATGCTGTGCTTTTCAGCTGGCTCCTGCAGACAGGAGGGCTGAAAAGTTACTGGGTTTGGAGCGTTAATCGCTGCCTCCAGTAACTGGGCTTTCACAAGCTGCCTCCAGTAGCTGGGGTTTCACCGGCGCGATGGGTTGGTGCTGAAGGCTGAGAGCAGCATGTGTCCTCCTCCAGCAGAGCTGAGCAGTTCGGGCAGTGACTGGGGATTGACACCAAAGCAAAGGCCATCTCCTCTTGTCCCAGACGTACGGGATTTCTCCTGGGGGAGAGAAAGCTTTTTGGGAGCGAAAAGGGCAGATGCTGATTTGGGGATGGGGGCGTCCAGGGAAGCACTGCGCCTGTTGGTCCCAGGTCAGGATCTGTCCCTGTCCACGCGGTGGAACTAACCAGCACTTGTCACTGTCCAGATGAAAGAATATTTATCAGCCCACCCCAAAAGTGAATCCAAAGGCCACAGCTGTGGCTCCAGGACCCTCTGGTCCCCTCCCGGTCGCTGCATGAGGGGATGCCCTGGGGTTGGGGGACGCTTTCTCCACTCGCTGCCCCTTTGCTTTGGGCAGACAGACAAGCAGGAAAGTTCTTGCTGTGGGCAGGGCTGGAGAGGCCCGAGGGGATGAGTGTGACGGGGACAATCAAGGATGGAGGCTGATGGGGTCATGCTTTGCCTTTGCCCAGGAGGTCGATGTCATCAGGTCCTGCCAGGAGCGGATGCAGCGGTACCTGGACAAGGCGAAAGCCCAGCTTGCGTAAGGAGGGCTCCTTATCTCCTTCTGCGGGGCTGACGTGCCCTTGCAGTTGCAATGTGGACCCCCAGCAGATCCCTGCCTCTGCCCACACCCCGTGGGTGTCAAACCCCTGCAGGCTCCCTGGGAAGTGGGAGCACGTCGCTGCCCCGGTGGGAGCTGCGGGGGAGTGGGAGGATGGGGAGGGAACTGTGCCACCCCTCCGTCCCCAGTGACGGCCGTTTTTGGGGTGTTGAAGGTCCAGCAGGGCGGCCCAGCATGAGCTGGAGAGGGACCTGGCCAACAAGCAGGCAGCCCACCGCATCGACGACAAGTGCCACCACCTGAGGAACACCTCCGACGGCATCAGCTACTACCGAGGGGTGGAGCGGGTCGATGCCACGTGAGTGCATGCCGGGCAGCGCCAGCACCGAGCCATCCCCGGGACGCAGGGTCCCTGTCCCTGGCAGGGAGCGGGTTGTCCCCAGCCTGCTGTAAAGGCATGAACATCCCTGGAGTGAGCAACCTGGTCTAGTGGAAGGTGTCCCTGCCCATGGCAGGGGGTTGGAGCTAGATGATCTTTAAGGTCCTGTCCAACACAAACCATTCTGTGATTCTATGTCACATCCATCGTGCCTGCACACACCCATCTTGGAGGGACCATTTCTCTCTGCTCACCATAAAGGGAGCACAACCCTCTGCTTTCTGCTGGATGCCCGACATCCAGAGGGTGAAAGCAAGTCCCACTCAATTAAACATTATCTATGGTTTCAGAGATCAGCCCGAAAATGAATTTGGTTCAGCACCTCTGCACAGCTCGTGCAGTTTACACATATTTTCAAAGATGTGTCAGTGCTTGCCTGAGTGCTGAGCATTGATGTAAAGTCTGGGGAGGTTCACTCCTGCATGGAGAGGGCCTGGCAGGGAGCCAAAATGACACAGAAAAGAAAGAAATAGTAGAGCATGGTTCTGGGATAGAATTCAGCTGCTTTTGGGTGCCAGGAATTTGGCTTTGACTCTGCAGTAAATGAATGGTGACCTAAGGCAGTGCTCACAGAGAGATGCCTGAAGTGGCAAAGGGCTGAGGGAATAAATCTGCTGCTTACAGATGCGTGCAGTTTATGGGGGGGCATAGATGGATTCAGTTTTTCTAATGTTGGAATAATTATTCACAGTCGAGCTCAGACATATTTAGACAGGCAAACGAATTGCAAAGGATTGATGCTAAAATTCAGAGGGGGGTAAAATGTGCCGAGGATCAGCATGTTTTAAATGGAGCTTATGTGGTATTTAAGTCTTTTGTTGACCTTGTTCGGGACTGCTGCACAGGCGTGAGCTTCATCCCAGCTGCACAGACAGAGAATCGAGTATTATCTTCTGCTCGTTCAGTTGAGTATGAAACTGAGATAAGTTCTGAGCAGAGTGAATTGACGCAACCTGCGTGTTGTCTCGAGACTGTGAATCACTTGGCACTTCAGTGCCTCAAACATGTAAATATAAGGTCTGATTAAAATCTCTTATTTTTCTGGGGAGATCTTTTCTTTGTCTGAGCTTTTTTAAGTGTCGCAGTTGCCTTCATGAACATGTCATCGTTTGATAAGCCTTACTGAACAAATGGTGTCCAGATGTTTCACTTTCGTGTGGTCAAATTAAGAGCGTAGATTTAATCTAGATTTAATCTCCATTTAATCCACGCTGCTCTCTGGCAGGGTCCATGCCTGCCCACGTCCAGCAGCACGGGCTGACTGGGGGCCTCTCCTTTTCCCCCACCAGCATCTCGGTGCCGGAGTCGTGGGCCAAGTTCACGGACGACAACATCCTCCTCTCCCAAAGCGAGCGGGCGGCCTCCGCCAAGCTGCGGGACAACATCGAGAACCTGCTGGTGGTGACGGCCAACGAGATGTGGCGCCAGTTCAATAGCGTCAACGTCGCCTTCACCAACCGCATCGCTGAGACGGCCGACGCCAAGAACAAGATTCAGACCCACCTGGCCAAGGTAGCCCGAACCCCTCCCTTCGGGTGGGACACCGTCACTTCCCAGTGACACCTCCGAAGGGGGACCCTCCACGTAGACCTGGCCCAAGCAGAGGAACGGTCACCACAAGAAGCTGGTTGTAGTGTCATTTTCTGTTTGAAACTCCAAGTATTGGGGACTTTCTCCTTGGAGCAGGATGGGTTGGCACTGTCATTTCATCCCAGAGGATGGTGTATTTTGCTAGTCCATCCTAGCTGCTAGCCTGGCAGCACAGGGATTTCCAGCAGAAAATGCCAATGCTGGTTTCATCTCTGGATACTTACTTGACAAGTGCTGGCTGTCCTGCAGAAAGTCTTCACTGGGATGCCTACTGGGGGGTTCACAGGCTCACTTCTCCTCCAAGAACGTGCTTTCAGTCTCAGTGCTCTGTTTGCTGCCCAGGTGTCCTCTGTCCGAGTAGGGGAAGTGGAGATCAGTGGTGGGCACCTGGCTTGGGCTGGTGGGTCTCATGGAAAGCTTCCTGAAAAGCGCTCGACACGGTATTGATTGACAGAGCGGAGACTGGGCTTGCAGCACTGCAGGTTGATGCCACGTCCCTAAATGAAGCGCCGTTAAAAACCTTCCCTCTGTTAGCTGCTGTTGATGGATGGTCACTTCCTGCAAGCAGTAATGTTGGGAAGCTGGTCATTCAGTAGATCCATCATTGCTCCGAAACCTTCTCTCATGTGACAGCAACAGCAAAGAGAGGCTTTTCCCTGCAGAGAAATCGCCGCTGGATCTGTGCCTCGATACGTGGCAGAGTGACAGCGTCTGAGCCCAGGCTCCGCTTATTGAACTTGGTTTTTTTCTGCAGACAGACAGGAGAAAAGGGTAATGATGTGGTCACTGGAGAATATGTTTTTTAATTTATGCCTGTGTTTCTTTTTCATGCCAGACACTGCAGGAAATCTTCCAGATCGAGATGAACATCGAAGCCATCCGAAAAGCCATTCGGGACAGCGGGCCTCCGTTAAAAGTGGCTCAGACCCGGCTGGATGAGCGCACACGGAGACCACAAGTGGAGCTGTGCCGGGACCCTGCCCAGCTCCGGTGAGGCCAGAGCGCAGGGCTGGGGGGGTCCTTGGGGAGTCACTGGTGGTAGCACTCAGGAGCATCACTTGATGACAAAATTATCCTTTACACCATGGCTGGGTACAGCCTGATCATAGAATCGTTTAGGTTGGAAAAGACCTTTAAGCTCATCAAGTCCAACCGTTAACCCAGCACTGCCAAGTCCATCACTAAACCATGTCCCCAAGTGCCACAGCTGATGCCACCCTGCAAGGGGCTGGATTTTTCCACCTTGGGTAAACATCATGCTCTCTCCTGCTGGTTTCCCGGTGGCTGGACGTGCACAGGTTGGAGGGATAAGCCCTTCACTCCGACAGGCTCATGTTGAGGGCACTTAGGTCTTTCTTTTTGGGTAACTGCAAGAAACGGTGCAGCATATGGAGAGCTGGTGAGGGCTGTCCTCCCCTCCCCGGGGACACTGGAAATCTTTCAAGACCATAGTGAGCCCTTTGGGATTGCACCCCGAGGGGCCGTGGAGAAGTTGAAAAGCAATTGAAACCCAACCCCAGAGCCCGTTCAGCATCCCCCATGCCATTGGTTTTTCCATCCTCCACTCGTTTCCCGGTCACTTCTAGCCTCTCCCAGCCGTCCTGTTCTGCTGCGTGTGCATCCGTGGGTGTGGGCAGGACCCTTGCCCAGGAGGGGGAACCAACAAACCCGCAAACCCAAACAGGAACAGGGAACCACAGCTGCTTAGTCCTTTTCTTGGTGGCATGAGCTGCCCCGTGAGATGCGGCTGCTCATTGCCAGAGCCTTAGAGCCAGGCTTAACCGTGCCTCCCCGCTGAGGTCCGGAGCAGCTCTGCCTGTGGCTTTCCCACAATTCTTCCAGAAATGGGGGGTCCGAGTTCGTCTGAGCCCACTGAAGGGGGAAATCCTGCGCCCCAGGGACCTGTCAGCAGCACTGTGCGTAAAACCACCCCCAGGATGGGACTGTTAACGGGGGTTTCTTGCTGTTTTCCAGCCTTGTCAACGAGGTCCATGAAATCGATGAGACAATCCAGAGCCTTCAGCAGCGGCTGAGGGATGCTGAGGACACGCTGCAAATGCTGGTTCATGCCAAGTCGGTCCTGGAGCATGACCTGGCTGTCAAAGCCAACTCGCTCTTCATCGACCAGGAGAAGTGCATGGGGATGCGCAAGACCTTTCCCACCACCACGCGGCTGCTGGGCTACGTCTAGGCTGGGCTCAGCTGAGCTCAGCACTATCTGTTGCAGGATGCATTCCCCGTTTTGCAAAGATGCATTCCCAGATTTGCTAAGATGCTTTGAAAATACATTATTGTATTTTCTCTTCCTGATGAAAGCCCTGAGCAGAAATTAAATGAGCACTTTGTGTATTACATGGTCTACCAGGATTCTTTTTTTCCTCTGTTTTTTTTTTTTCTTTTTTTTTTCTCTCGCATACCCTGTATGCGACTAAGAGTAAATCCACCCCCAGGGATTCATCCCTAGCCTTTCTGTCTGTGATTTTGGGAGAAGAACTGTCATGTCTTCTTCCTTTTGAGTCTGTCTGATGTGGAAAAAGCACAAGGGGAAGTAAAGTTCGTTTGTCAGAGTAATTAGCTGTTGACATCCATAATGCATTTTTAATGGTGCAGCAGAAGAAACACAAACTATCCTGTAAAGTGTTGCAGTATGTTCTGTTCCTGAATAGAAAAACTTGCATTTTAAGCTGATTTCTAATGATAAATTTCTTGCTTTGGAAAAATTTTAAACATCATCTGAAATGTCACTGCTGGGCTCTTAAAATGAAGAAGTACTTTGGAGTAGCTAATTGAAGAAATTGCTGTGGTGTTAATTTTGGTGAGGATGGATTGGTTCCTAATTTAACCTCTTGCGTGTGGTTCGTTGGTAGAAGCACCAAAGCACTTTGAAGAAATGAATCGATCCTTAAGTCACTCCTGTGGCTGCCCTGGTACCTGCTCTCTGGCGGTAAATCAGACCTTTTTACCAAGCGTTTGAATTTCCAGAGGGAGAAGTCTTTAATCAGAGGTTCAGCATGAAAGTCACTTTGTAAATTGTCTCCTTAGCCTCACCTGTCAGACGCTCTTGAATCTTTTAACCGAAGCAGAGTTGAGCTCAGCCTGAATCCCAAAGGAGCAGAAGCTCAAGTCCCTTCTCCTCCCTCGGGAATCCAGGGCAGGGACCCCCTGGCCCGGTGTGGGGACTCTGGGAGCTGAGAGCATCTTTTCTTGTCTTGCATCCCCAGATGACTCCATTGCACGGCACAGGACCTGCCCGCCCCCCGGCTCTCCCAGGGGCAGCCCCCGAGCGCTGTGACCCGCGCCGAGGTCCTGCCCCAGCCTCGGCATCTCGGCAGGATCTCTCATCACAGCAGCAGCCCTAAACAGGAAGCAATTGTCTTTTTAACCTTTTTTTTTTTCTTTTTTTCACTAGCACTTTTGTCTCATGGAGACTAAAAATAGGTTTCCTCTACTGTGTGTCTGTCCTGGAGAGAGCAGCTGCCTTCTTTAAAGAGAAGATACAACCGTAAGCGGGAAAAACTGTCCAGCTCATCGCACTTTCCCTTTCTCCATGTATCACAGAGTCACAGAATGGTTTGGGTTGGAAGGGACCTTAAAGCCCATCCAGTGCCACCCCCTGCCATGGGCAGGGACACCTCCCACCAGCCCAGGTTGCCCAAAGCCTCATCCAGCCTGGCCTTGAACCCCTCCAGGGATGGGGCATCTACAGCTTCTCTGGGCAACCTGGGCCACTGCCTCACCCCCGCACAGGAAAACATTTCTTCCTCACATCTCATCTCCATCTCCCCTCTTTCAGCTTCAAACCGTTCCCCCTCGTCCTGTCCCTGCACCCCCTGATCCAGAGCCCCCCCATCTCTCCTGTAGGCAGCAATGTTCCTGTCTCTCCCTCCCCAAAACAAGCCGATGACATGCTGAACTCGGGGACCTCCAGTTCTCATCAGCATCCTCGTTCGCCTCCGTGCTGCCGGGTGCTGTTACTCTCCGTGTTCCTTTACCGGAGACTTTCACAGCCCCTGGTGATTTGTGCTGCTCTGCTGTTGTGACGCCCTGCTCCAGACAGCAGGTTTTCAGGTAGAGCTGCCTGGTTCCTTTTTTGAGCAATGGGCCCCGTGAATTTGTCCCCAGCTGGGTGCTGGGAAGCAGAGGCACCCACAGTCCCTTTTCTAAAGGCTCGTGCTGGTGAGTCACTTGAGTGAAGTCTTGGCGTCAGCGACAGCTTCACATTCATTCCATGTTCCACTTTCATTTTTGAGCCACATAAAAATATATCTGAGCTCTGTTTAACTATGAAGGCACAAGGATAGCAGCACCCCAGGTGTCCTATTTTCTCCAATTCTGCTTTCAGAGCCCCCCAGTCCCTTCTTTCCCACTAGCTCAGCTCCTTTCAGGCTTTCTCCGACTGACAGCGTTGATGTTGTGTCGCAATTATCCCACTCCCAATTTTGTCTCGCTGTCCTCCCCTCTCGAGGCTTCTTCACACAGTACTGGCAGTGCATTCCTTTCCTCTCTTCGAGCCATGACCAGAGGAATTTCAGTGGTGGCTTCTCTGATGCCTTTCACAAATACTTTCCGCTTTCCTGCAGCAGATTTCCCAGACGCTGGAGAATTCCCAGATCCCTCGGGGGGTTCATTCTCTCCATGCCAGTTTTCCATAAGTTAACAATATTCACGTTACGTCTTCTGGTGGCTGATACTCTCAAATCCCTCAAGCACTCTGATTGCCTAATCCTACGTGTCCTTCGGTTGGAGTCTTTTTTTCCCCCCTCTCCCAGTCTATCCCATGCACATCCCACCACGGGAGCCAGCCCAGCCGCACAACTCCTGCAAAACGGGTCCCTAGGGAGAGGCTTTGGGGGAAATTCCAGCAGACGCGGGGCTTGCAGCAGCATCTCCTGCACAGGGATGGCTTTACCCCCGTGATGGAGCTGCTGGGTGTATAAAGCCGCTGGGTTCCAGCGCTGCAGGGCTGGGTTGGGGGTTGTAGCCGAGCAGCCTCTAGCTTTGATGTGTATCAGGTGCATTAGAGAGCCTTCCTGCTGCTGATGCGCGAGGTGCCTTTGCTTTCCTCCCACTAAATGATTTGCTTTCATAGATCACTCTTAGATAACATCGCCTGGCTGCCTTTCTGCACCCATACAACGTTTCCTTTCTTTAAATGCCTTCAGTCCGAAGAAGAAGGCCGTGCCTGCTTTTATTGCTCTTTATTGCCAGTTTATTGCTGGCTTTATCAGCCAAGCTGCTGAGAAGGTCAGTGAGCAGAAATTCCTTCGCATCCCACAGCCATATTCCCACCCTCCTGCATCATTCCAATAAACCCTGCAGAGCTGGGTTTGCAAACTGATTGTTTACTGACTGGAAGAAAGAAAATAAATTCATAAAACCGGGACAGCATTGCTTCATGCAAGCTTAGCTTTGTGTCGGTCCAGGATCCAGTTGAACAGTCGAGGCCAGTCTATGGAGAAGCCGTTGGGAAAGGAGGCTTGGGTGGTTTTGTTGCCTAAAGGAAAGAAAAAAACAATGAATGTCCTGGAGGAGTCTGATGTGAATTTAGGTGAAATCAAAGCTTGCCAAAAAACCATGTTAACAGTATATTGCGTAACTAGCGCAGATTATTATGCTCAAGGGAGAGAGAATTCCCCAAATAGCATCAGCAATCAGGGGAAAAAACCCCAAACTCATTGTTATTATTAAAAAAAAAAAAAAAAAAAAAAAGAAAAACTTTGGCCAAAAGCCAAGGCAGTATAAGAGCAGTATAGGAGCCCGGGAATGGCTGGGCTGGCTCAGACCAAAGTCCAGCGAGCCCCAGACTCAGTCGATGGCAGAGCCGACAGGAGATGCTTAGAGAAAAGCTCCAGAACAAGGCGAGCGCCCTGTGATACTTTCCCAGTCTACTTTCCCAGCTTCTAGCAATTAGTATCTCAAGGACTTCCTGAGCTGACAGGGCTGTCCTTGAGTTTAATATCCCCCGATGGATTTGTTTCACATGCTCTCATTCCAGTTGTTCTTCGAGGCCGTGTGGACTCGCGGCATCTACTGCATCCCTCGGCAAGGAGCTGCGGGGATGGGGCATCCTCACCCTCGCAGCATCGGCGGCAACTCTTGGGACCTTGGAGGAGACTGAAAAAGGGGCCAGACCTGGGACTGCTGAAGGCAAAAGTCTAAAACTCAATAGCTTGGGCAAAAAGGTAGCTCAAAGCTGGTTTAGATCTCTTGTCTCTGTAGGCTTAACGGAGGAGCTTGCAGAGGGCTGGTTCCTTTGCTGTGCTGTCAGCACGGAGGAGACGAGCACGGATCACAATTTGTGAAAGTATCGGGGTATGTCCTGACACAGGCTCCTGGCCCAGCTGGGAACCTGGCTTGGTTTATTTGGCTTTTGGAATCAGTGGGTAAATTTTGCTTTCATTGCAGCTGGTGGAATTTTCTCCAGGGATTTCAGCCCGACGCTATCCGTGATGACAACTGGCTTGGAGCTGAAAGGAAAAAGTTGGTTGAAGTTGGGTTTTGGGCATGAATGCAGACAGGATTCAAATTATTTTATAAATTCTTCTTGGTTTGGTGGAAAACAAATGGCAGGAAAAGTCAGTAAATGTCTCCAAGATGTTTTAGAAGTTTGCTGAATTTAAATGCCTCCCCTTCCGTTCGCTGCTGCTTGAAACGGCTTTTCCGATCGCCATTCCACCGGTTTTAGCAGAAAAACTGAATTTTGATCCAAACAGCGTTTTATACTGGAGAAAAGACCCATTCCCTTTCGCAGTCCTGCCGTGGGGCTCGGTAACCTGCAGCGGCCCCCCGCCCCACCGCACGGCCCCTGCCTCCTGCCCGCTCCCTGCACTGGGGAAAGGGCCAGATCCTGGCAGCCCTCGGACCCTGCTCTCGCTGCCAGCTGGGGACGGGCTCTCAAGGTGGAGAGCCTTCCCCTGGTCCTTCAGCTGGAAATAGTTAGACAGTTATTTGTGTGCATGTATTTTTATATATGTATTTATATATATATGCATATATTTATATATATAAATGTGAATCGAACCATATGTTGCTTTGGTTATTTCCCTAGCTGCACAGTTGTTTCAAACCAAGATTTTTCCCAGCTTGTTCCCAGCCCCATGGGCTCACTGATGGCAGTGTGGATTTCTTCCCCTTTGCATTTCAAATCCTCTGTCTAATGGTCTGAATCACCAGGGTAGGGAACAGGAAGCG